TCAATGCATTCTGAATACTGTTAATTTAGCAATGTATATACCTCCTACTCAAATTAGCTAATTTAGATCAATCCAAATGTATTATCAACACCGCTAACCAACCCCTTCTTTCTCCGGCACGTAAATCTTCTGGTGTCTCTTCATTATGTTCTTCAGACAGCTTCATATTTCAAAATGAATTGCCCATGACAATGTCACAACTACAATGTCTCATCTGAGTCACCACCAACTCTACACCCCATTGTGTCTTGTACATTTGCCAACCATTATGCCCACAACATTAGAAATGTAGTATTTGAACATATCTTTCTTAATTCTCACTCAATGGTGGACTCCTGTCCCACTCCCTCGATATAAAAACATGAGAGAAAATCGGTTGATGGCTTCTATTGGCTGTTGTAGACCGGTTGCATGTAGAAGTGGTGCTGTACAGGAATGTCTTCAATGCCTCTGATATTCGTCTTCAGCCGGTTCAGAGGTTGTTTCTTTTTAAGGTTCACACCATTCTATGCCAAATTATCCCTGCTATGCATCAAGACACCATCTGTATTTACCTCACCAGAAGACAGAACATAACAGTTTAATTGAGTTAATTTCTAATCCAATAAATCCATATAAGCATTGACTATATGACAAATTATTATGTTTTACAAAATATTCTTAATACCAATTTCTAATATACTCCCCAATTTCTATTAGGTAAACACTCCAAATACATAGAACTGAATGGTGTGCCAGCCAGGTGATTTCTTGAAATTCTGGAAGATCTTGAAGTTCTTGGAGGTCTGTCCCTCCACCGAGGGAATCAGCCAGAACACGTAGCTCATCAGTAGCATTCCTCTTGACGTCGTCTCCCATCACCTGATCCTTGTCAGCTCCAGTAACCTCATCTCCCTTATCTCTAGACCTTCGTTACCTCGTAGTACACTGTTTCAGTGGTTAAGATGATACCAGATCGATCTCCCCTCTATCCATACATCCGTTGGTGTAGACTGGGTGACAATGTATGGTCCCTTTAGCTCTGAATCTTCTTCCGTCACTATGGTCTCTGGATCAGCCAGAGTCCTTCTCCATTTATCAACATCGCTCTGTGGAGTGTGTCCTTCTTGCATCTTACCAATAGGGAAGTTGAGAGTCCCTGCTGCAAAAACACACAGACACAGACACAAAAGAAAACAATGCTCCGCAGTGGCGATGCAATCTTCCTCCTCTGAGTTGGAATACTCTTACAGTGGGACACATAGATCAAGGAATCTGTCTCTGCTACTTTCCCCTCCATCGAGGTAGCCAGCAACACCTAGTACTGACCTCCCCACCTAGATTCTGTCCAGCTCTGGCTTCTGTAATCCTTAACTGCCACAAAGCCTCCAAGGCGCAGAAAATGCCCAGATTCTCCTGTTAGTTCTGGCAGAGAATCCTTCACCTTTTGGAAGAAAGTCTTCAGAACATTGTTAGGTGAGACACAGTATGCTACTTTACCCTGTCTTCTTATCAGTCAGGAGAAGCCCTGAGATTAGGAAGTGCACATCTTGCAGCTTGTTGCAGTCCACTCGTTCCATAGACAGGCCTCCTCTACATCCTGCCTTATACCACAAATACATTTTCACCTAAAACATTTAATCTAACCCATAACACATTAATTACTACTGCTCATATTCTTAATACAATTAGCATATTTACCAAAAAGCCTCATGCGAGCAGTACTCACATCATGATTCATGCATTCAAAAACAAAACAACAACATTGTTTGTTAAACCAAAATAATAAATGACATTACAATGACAACATTTGACAATACCTTAACTCAATTGTATCCCGTAAAGTAATTCAAGAATAGTAAAATTGACTAGCTACAGTTATCCCTTATTTAGGGATAGCGCTCTCTCTCTATCCTTGTCATGGTCTGAATCTCATATATATATATATATATATATATATATATATATATATATATATATATATATATATATATATATATATATATATATATACTGCTCAAAAAAATAAACGGAACACTTAAACAAACACATCCTAGATCTGAATGAATGAAAGAATCTTATTAAATACTTTTTTCTTTACATAGTTGAATGTGCTGACAACAAAATCACACAAATTATCAATGGAAATCAAATTTATCAACCCATGGAGGTCTGGATTTGGAGTCACCCTCAAAATTAAAGTGGAAAACCATACTACAGGCTGATCCAACTTTGATGTAATGTCCTTAAAACAAGTCAAAATGAGGCTCAGTAGTGTGTGTGGCCTCCACGTGCCTGTATGACCTCCCTACAACGCCTGGGCATGCTCCTGATGAAGTGGCGGATGGTCTCCTGAGGGAACTCCTCCCAGACCTGGACTAAAGCATCCGCCAACTCCTGGACAGTCTGTGGTGCAACGTGGCGTTGGTGGATGGAGCGAGACATGATGTCCCAGATGTGCTCAATTGGATTCAGGTCTGGGGAATGGGCGGGCCAGTCCATAGCATCAATGCCTTCCAATTGCAGGAACTGCTGACACACTCCAGCCACATTGAGGTCTAGCATTGTCTTGCATTAGGAGGAACCCAGGGCCAACCGCACCAGCATATGGTCTCACAAGGGGTCTGAGGATCTCATCTCGGTACCTAATGGCAGTCAGGCTACCTCTGGCGAGCACATGAGCCAGGAAGCATAGGAACTGAGAAGTGGTCTGTGGTCACCACCTGCAGAACCACTTCTTTATTGGGGGTGTCTTGCTAATTGCCTATAATTTCCACCTGTTGTCTATTCCATTTGCACAACAGCATGTGACATTTGTCAATCAGTGTTGCTTCCTAAGTGGACAGTTTGATTTCACAGAAGTGTGATTGACTTGGAGTTACATTGTGTTGTTTAAGTGTTCCCTGTGTTGTTTAAGTGTTTTTTGAGTTATTAGTATTTGATCCCCTGCTGATTTTGTACGTTTGCCCACTGACAATAGATTTATGTTAACCATGTCCTCGTTCAGCCACGACTTTGTGAAGCATAGGTGATGTGACAAAGGATGGTTTAGCCTGTTTGAACTTGACTCATCATTGAAATTCCTCAGACGTGTAGGGATGTAGGCTTGGCTAATGGTTTGATGACATTTTACTATATTTGGCAAGTAGGCCTACTTTTGCTTTACTGCCTAGTTTCTTTCTGCTGCAAAGAAAAAGCCAGACTGGCCAATAAAAATAAAATATTAAGATGGACAGTCTGAGATATGGCTTTTTCTTTGCAACTGCCTAGAAGGTCAGCATCCCGGAGTCGCCTCTTCACTGTTGACGTTGAGACTGTTGTTTTGCAGGTACTATTTAATGAAGCTGCCAGTTGAGGACCTGTTAGGCGCCTGTTTCTCAAACTAGACACTTTAATGTATTTGTCCTCTTGCTCAGTTGTCCACCGGGGCCTCCCATTCCTCTTTCTATTCTGGTTAGAGCCAGTTTGCACTGTTCTGTGAAGGGAGTATTACACAGCGTTGTACGAGATCTTCAGTTTCTTGGGAATTTCTTACATAGAATAGCCTTCATTTCTCAGAACAAGAATAGACTGATGAGTTTCAGAAGAAAGTTATTTGTTTCTGGCCATTTTGAGCCTGTAATCGAACCAACAATTGCTGATGCTCCAGATACTCAACTAGTCTCAAGAAGGCCAGTTTTATTGCTTCTTTAATCAGCACAACAGTTTTCAGCTGTGATAACATAATAGCAAAAGGGTTTTCTATTGAGCAATTATCCTTTTAAAATGATAAACTTGTATTAGCAAACACAACGTGCCATTGGAACACAGGACTGATGGTTGCTGATAATGGGCCTCTGTACGCCTATGTAGATATTCCATTAAAAAGTATCTGTTTCCAGCTACAATAGCCATTTGCAACATTAACAATGTCTACACTGTATTTCTGATAAGTTTGATGTTATTTTAATGGACAAAAAAATTGCTTTTCCTTCGAAAACAAGGACATTTCTAAGTGATCCCAAACTTTTGAACGGTAGTGTACGTATTACAGACTCGGCCAGGGACAGGTTGAAAATGTCAGTGAAGACACTTGCCAGTTTGTCAGTGCATGCTCGGAGTACACGTCCTTCCACAATCCATTCTGTTGGTAAAGTGGCCTGCGCTCTGATACGTTATTCATTGTCTAGTGCCTTAAAATCAGCATGGCTTTTCAGGGGTTACATTAAGACCGTTGGCTATGAATTAAAAGGTAAACAAACACTGTACAGCTTACAGTATTTGTGTCTTACCAGACTCCAGTGGCCAAGCAGAGTAGACTACTTACCCTATAAACCTCACTGCTAGACAATAGACTTGCTGTTGACAAGGCCACGTTTGTGTTTTAAGTATTTTGACACTGGAGCTTAAGACAAGGACCTTTGTCCCCAGTAGGAATATGACGTTGTTAATGGAACTATTTAAAGCCTTGTCATGACTGACCGGTGATCTCTGTTGTTGTCGCATGCCAGGATGAACAGGACAGCTGTGACATTGACTTGTCCCATTTCCCTGTCACACCGTCAGACTGTCAGCAGACTGCATGCAGTTGTCATTTTCCCTGTGCAGCCACGTGGCTTTAGGTTTTGACTTTGACCTCCCGCCTCCAGCCTTGCCAGCCCCCCACAGTGATAAGATAAAATGTGTCTGTCTCGCAGTGTCAGCCACCTGGTCGCTCCCATATCACCTCTCTCAGCTCTGACACTGCTCGGCAGCAGCCCCCTCTGATTGCTCATGACTCATTCATGGATTCTTTGAAATCGTTGTTTTCCTTCTGATTAAGGCTTGTCCTTGTTGGTATAGGAAACACAGTGATGCAAGGTGACAGTATATTGCCACATCTTAACAGGAATTGGGGTCAATTTCATCTAAATTCAGCCGATTCGGGAAGTAAACAGAAATTCCAATTCCACTTTTCCCATTGCTCTTGTCTCTCCTAACTCTAACTCTACTCCCCTTGCCTAAAACAATAACACTGATGTCTTCTCCTATGTTTCCCCAGGCACCCCACTAAAAATGTTGGCTGCACAGAGCAGCCCCCAGAGGCTCAGAGCCTGCCTGCACCTGCTCAGGACAGCAGTGCAGAGGAAGACCCAGGCGACAAGTCCCATCACAGGGTACATACCTGTTGGACCATAAGCTACTATGATTTTGTATTTGTACATACCTAATATAACCAACTCTCTTGTTGATACTGGTTTCTTTAATGTTGGATAAAACACCAACTAATGTTTCCTTCCCGTCTTGTCCGTCAGGGTGTTGTTCAGGTAGAGGAGGGCTGGGGGTACCAGTATGTCCAGTACCTATCTGAAGAGGTGGTGCTGCCAGAGGGAGAGGAGGTGGATACACAGCAGCAGGGCCTAGCAGAGGGGGAGGTGGTGGAGACTCCAGGCACAGAGGTGGAGGACAAGGAGCATGTCAAGGTATTCATTTGGTTTATTTGGATCCCCATTTAGCTGTTACTATTGCAACCTACTGCTCCTGGGGTCCACAAGGTACTGCAATGATGAATCCTAACAACTAGGCCTGAAAAACGACTCCACCCTGGCTTACTTACTGGATGTGAAGCAGATGTCTCTCTCTTTAGTATAAGAGCAGATTGAGACTAGGATACTGTCCATCAGACCTATTGATCAAACATATTGATTGTTCCTGAAATATTTTTAGCATAAAAGGTTGTACCACTCATAAGGCAGGTGGGTGGTTGTTGTGGGCCATCAATACTAAGTTCTGTGTTTTAATGACAGTGCAGTGATTATGTTTTCCAGACGTTGGACCTGGAGGATTCTGTAGCAGAGAAGGAGCCAGAGACCGCAGAACCAGAGGCCGGTACAGATGCTGAGCAGCCACCTCCAGAGGCCATTGTCACCCAAGGGCAGCAGCCAACCCCCACCTCTGACCTGTCCCCTCCACCCTCTGCCCCTGCTTTCAATCCCATCCCTGAAGAGCCGTCCAGCACCCCTAGCTCATCCTCTAGTGTACCAGAGGAAACTGTGTCTGATGTCCCTGTGTCATACTCCAGCGATGCTGATCTGGCCATAGATGACTGTGAAGCTGGAGAAACCATCCCCTTTGACAGCACCCTCACCAGGTCAGTGTAACGGAGGTGCTCCCGTGGTGAGTAACCTTACCTGAGGACTGAACTTGTGTTAGCTCCCAGAGAGCTAATGGCTAGGCTTAAATCAGCAGGCTAAGACAGTCAAGTGGTGCGCAGGTTCGAACCCAGTTGTTTTACCCAGTGTTTGAATGTAGGCTCTCTTTCTATTGTCCCCCTATGTAGTCTTCCTGTTGTGCTGGAGAACACATCCAATGCCCTGGGAAAGGGCACCAAGACCGACATAGTCCCCCCTCTGGCCCAGGCAGGTCAGGCCTCAGTGGGGCTGGCTCAGGGGGCCAACACATCCCACATGCTCAACGAACAGGTAGAGAAACACCAACATTTGTTGCATAGCAATAATGTTTTCTGATGCTGATAGTCCCAGAAGTACAACCTCCAAGCTTAATCATGCCGACCTCAAATGAAAGTATTTGACACATAGACAGTATGTATTTGACCAAGGTCTGATGCTTGTCTGTTGACTGCTATTCTTAGGACTTGAGCTCACACGTCACCACAGAGACAGATCCCAGCGTGGCAACCAAGGATCCGGAGGACAACCCCACCTTTGACGAGTGGAGGAAGAAAATGATGGAGGTGGAGAAAGAGAAGAGTAAGATAGATCGTGTTCCTGGCCCGTCTCAGTCAGTCACTCACTAGTTTTGATTTAAAACTATCTCTCTTCGTAGCTCAGGCCACTCATACCTCCACCAATGGCGGCTCCCACGCTGTAAAGAAGGTGCAGAAGAACTTCAACAACTATGCATCGGTGGAGTGTGGGGCAAAGATCCTGGGTTCTAACCCAGAGGCTAAGGTATCTATTTCAAATTGTCACCCTCCAAACCTATCTATATATTATTTTTTTATCGCTAGCTTTGCAGATTTTGATGGAAGGATCTTTTCTCTCAGAGCACTTCAGCCATATTAATGGAGAGCATGGATCATTACATGTTAAATCCCTGCAGCAACAAGATCTGGTGAGTGTGTGTGTCTAGATCCCTGTGTGTTGCTGCTCTAAGAGTTAATGTGTACATGTGTTTCTGTTTCCAAAAATGTCTTCTGTCCTTGTCCTTATACTTCCTCTAAAACCTCCCTGTTCCTTTTTCCCTTTATAACTACAGGTAGAACAGAATCCACTTCTCCACTCACCACCTACGGTATCCTCATCCCTCATCATCCTCTCTCTCTTTCTCTCTTTCTCTCTCTCTTTTTCTTTCTCTCTTTCTGTCTTTCTTACTCTTTCTTTCTTTCTTTCTCTCTCTTTCTCTCTCTTTCTCTCTCTCTTTTTCTTTCTTTCTTTTTTTCTTTCTTTCTTTCTTTCTTCTTCAGGTTCATCATCGAGCTGTGTGATCCCATCCAGGTGAAGCAGTTGGACATCGCTAATTTTGAGCTCTTCTCTTCCACACCCAAAGAGTTCTTGGTCTCCATCAGTGACAGGTTTGATCTGAGTCATGTTCATTAAAGCTGGTGTCCTTAATTGGTGAAACTGGCACGTCCATTTGGGATATTACAACAACAAAGAAGTTACTGCAAATAACAAACACTGTTTTTTCCCTATTGAACATCATTGCATGTGCGATAGAACAGCAGAATATGTATGGCACATTTTTTTTACCACGCTACCAGAGGCTCCTCTCCTCCGTTTCTCAGTTTCAACAACAAAACAAAAACATTAACATTTTAAACTGCTTAGAATCTGAAACGAAAATGAGTGCTGTTTTTTGACCAGATATTCTCTCCCTGTATTAGTCAGTTTTCTTCTTTTTGGTGCCTAATGAACATGACCCCAATGGGAATGTCTCGTTTTGATATCTTTTAATCTGTCATTTGATGCTGAACATCATAAATGCTACAAACAGAAACAGTCACTACTACTGCACTAAGGATAGATCAATAGGTTGAATGATGTTGGATAATGCTCCGTCAGGTACCCGACCAACAAGTGGGTGAAGCTGGGCACTTTTCATGCTCGGGACGAGCGCACTGTTCAGAGTTTCCCTCTGGATGAGCATCTGTATGCCAAATATGTCAAGGTGTGTATGGCATCCTCCTGTTCCTTCTCTTCTCTACTCCCTCCTCTAGTCCCACTCTACTCAATCAGGTTTCTCTTGGGAAAGAGGTACTCTGAATGGGACTTCTTATCTAAATAAAAATAATAGATAATCAATACTAGATTATCCCCCACTTAACTCAAATCCTGCAGGCCTGTGTGTGTATGCTGGTCCTCTCATTCTAGAGTAATGTGTTACAATGATACAACGGGTTGGTCTAATCCTGAAGGCTGATTTGGTTAAAACCGCATTCCAGCCGGTGTCTATTCCACAAGTTACCACAGGCTAAATCTATGACGTTAAAATGCCTATTTACTCTGTTCCATCTGACTGCGCAATCCACTGTCTTATCCGCCTAGCCAGGCAATTTATTAACTTGATCTCCACTATAAAAAGCATCTAGACATTATCTCACATTTCTTTTAGACTAACATTTAGTTTTCAACAGCGGAGATTTGTATAAACCTTGCTGTTTTTCTCATCGTTAATCTGATGCTTCTGTACCTCTTCTCTGAGGACTGAAGCAGGAACCAGCATTCATACACTGGTCCTGTTTTAAATGCATGTGTGCATGTTCTTGTAATTATTTGTTTCTCTTCTCTTGTTTCTCCTGCTTCAGATGTTCACCAAGTACATAAAGGTTAGCCCATTTCTCTCTTAGATGTGGTCGGTCTGTGGAGGAGCAGGTAGATAGATGCTAACAGAAGGATAAGCTTGCTAACTGATCAGCGCTAGGTTACTGCAGTCCAGGTAGCACAGAATCTATACAATCTGGTCCAAGCCAATCAAAATATATTTGTAATTATTATCATTCATCTAGTTATGTCACTCCATATCATTTTTACTGTAGAGAAGCTTATTCTTCAGGGCAAGGTGGTTTGATCACAGCTTCAAAGTGCGCTAGCTTGTCACTGGCCACCCAGAAAAGCATCAACGTTAACAACTTACTTCTGGAATTTGACTATTTGTCCCACGATTTCATTGACAATTTGACCACCGGCCAAATCCCACCATGCGCTGATGCCTCTCTCCTGGATGTAAATGATGTCTGTGTTTCATCGCAGCTGGAGCTGGTCTCTCACCATGGATCTGAACACTTCTGCCCTCTCAGTCTCATAAGGTAGGCAATGAATAGAAAAACACTGAGTTCATGGAACGTCTTAAAGGTAATTGGGGAAATCACAGGTAATATAAAGATAATGTATAGCTAGCTGTAATAAGCATCAATTTACCGAATCCACAGGTATTGTACAGTCATATTTGTTAATGGATTACCAGCAAGCTGAAGGTAGTGGGGAGGGTGTTAAGTCATAGAGTACGAGTGGTAAAAATGTAACCCTCATAAACCAGTTGGTAAGGCTGAGCCGAGGGGACTGTTAAATCTGGAACTGCTAGTCTAGTGCTGTTATACTTGGCTGTCTCCAACGCCATAGAAATAAGCTGCTTTTTTCAGGGGCACTGGGGTGCAGCTCTGGCAGTCAGTTTGCAGAACATTTTGTCTTCAAAAAAGTACAGCCAACCAATCCCCTAAATAGTTTTTCTCCTATAGAGGCATGAATGGTTGTAAAATTATACAGTGCCTTGCACAAGTATTCATCCCCCTTGACCTTTTGCCTGTTTTGTTGCATTACAACCTGTAATTTAAATGGAATTTTATTTGGATTTCATGAAATGGGCATACACAGAATAGTCCAAATTGGTGAAGTGAAAAGAATAACTTGTTAAAAAAATTCAAAAAAATAAATAACGGAAAAGTGGTGCGTACATACAGTGGGGAGAACAAGTATTTGATACACTGCCGATTTTGCAGGTTTTCCTACTTACAAAGCATATAGAGGTCTGTAATTTTTATCATAGGTACACTTCAACTGTGAGAGACGGAATCTAAAACAAAAATCCAGAAAATCACATTGTATGATTTTTAAGTAATTAATTTGCATTTTATTGCATGACATAAGTATTTGATCACCTACCAACCAGTAAGAATTCCGGCTCTCACAGACCTGTTAGTTTTTCTTTAAGAAGCCCTCCTGTTCTCCACTCATTACCTGTATTAACTGCACCTGTTTGAACTTGTTACCTGTATAAAAGACACCTGTCCACACACTCAATCAAACAGACTCCAACCTCTCCACAATGGCCAAGACCAGAGAGCAGTGTAAGGACATCAGGGATAAAATGGTAGACCTGCACAAGGCTGGGATGGGCTACAGGACAATAGGCAAGCAGCTTGGTGAGAAGGCAACAACTGTTGGCGCAATTATTAGAAAATGGAAGAAGTTCAAGATGACGGTCAATCACCCTCGGTCTGGGGCTCCATGCAAGATCTCACCTTGTGGGGCATCAATGGTCATGAGGAAGGTGAGGGATCAGCCCAGAACTACACGGCAGGACCTGGTCAATGACCTGAAGAGAGTTGGGACCACAGTCTCAAAGAAAACCATTAGTAACACACTACGCCGTCATGGATTAAAATCCTGCAGCGCACCCAAGGTCCCCCTGCTCAAGCCAGCGCATGTCCAGGCCCGTCTGAAGTTTGCCAATGACCACCTGGATGATCCAGAGGAGGAATGGGAGAAGGTCATGTGGTCTGATGAGACAAAAATAGAGCTTTTTGGTCTAAACTCCACTCGCCATGTTTGGAGGAAGAAGAAGGATGAGTACAACCCCAAGAACACCATCCCAACCGTGAAGCATGGAGGTGGAAACATCATTCTTTGGGGATGCTTTTCTACAAAGGGGACAGGACGACTGCACCGTATTGAGGGGAGGATGGATGGGGCCATGTATCGCGAGATCTTGGCCAACAACCTCCTTCCCTCAGTAAGAGCATTGAAGATGGGTCGTGGCTGGGTCTTCCAGCATGACAACGACCCGAAACACACAGCCAGGGCAACTAAGGAGTGGCTCCGTAAGAAGCATCTCAAGGTCCTGGAGTGGCCTAGCCAGTCTCCAGACCTGAACCCAATAGAAAATCTTTGGAGGGAGCTGAAAGTCCGTATTGCCCAGCGACAGCCCCGAAACCTGAAGGATCTGGAGAAGGTCTGTATGGAGGAGTGGGCCAAAATCCCTGCTGCAGTGTGTGCAAACCTGGTCAAGACCTACAGGAAACGTATGATCTCTGTAATTGCAAACAAAGGTTTCTGTACCAAATATTAAGTCCTGCTTTTCTGATGTATCAAATACTTATGTCATGCAATAAAATGCAAATGAATTACTTAAAAATCATACAATGTGATTTTCTGGATTTTTGTTTTAGATTCCGTCTCTCACAGTTGAAGTGTACCTATGATAAAAATTACAGACCTCTATATGCTTTGTAAGTAGGAAAACCTGCAAAATCGGCAGTGTATCAAATACTTGTTCTCCCCACTGTATGTATTCACCCCCTTTGCTATGAAGCCCCTAAATAAGATCTGGTGCAACCAATTACCTTCAGAAGTCACATAATTAGTTAAATAAAGTCCACCTGTGTGCAATCTAAGTGTCACATGATCTGTCACATTATCTCAGTATATATACACCTGTTCTGAAAGGCCCCAGAGTCTGCAACACCACCAAGCAAGCGGCACCATGAAGACCAAGGAGCTCTCCAAACAGGTCAGGGACAAAGTTGTGGAGAAGTACAGATCAGGGTTGGGTTATAAAAAAAAATATCTGAAACTTTGAACATCCCACGGAACACCATTTTAAATCCATTATTAAAAAATTGAAAGAATAAGGCACCACAACAAACCTGCAAGAGAGGGCCGCCCACCAAAACTCACGGACCAGGCAAGGAGGGCATTAATCAGAGAGGCAACAAAGAGACCAAAGATAACCCTGAAGGAGCTGCAAAGCGCCACAGCGGTTTTGGAGTATCTGTCCATACGACCACTTTAAGCCGTACACTCCACAGAGCTGGGCTTTACAGAAGAGTGGCCAGAAAAAAGCCATTGCTTAAAGAAAAAAAAAGCAAACATGTTTGCATGTGGGAGACTCCCCAAACATATGGAAGAAGGTACTCTGGTCAGATGAGACTAAAATTGAGCTTTTTGTCCATCAAGGAAAGCGCTATGTCTAGCGCAAACTCATCACCCTGAGAACAACAGTGAAGCAGGGTGGTGGCAGCATCGTGCTGTGGGGATGTTTTTCACCGGCAGGGACTGGGAAACTGGTCAGAATTGATGGAATGATGGATGGCGCTAAATACAGGGAAATTGTTGAGGGAAACCTGTTTCAGTCTTCCAGAGATTTGAGACTGTGACGGAGGTTCACCTTCCAGCTAGACAATGACTCTAAGCATACTGCTAAAGCAACACTCGAGTGGTTTAATGGGAAACATTTAAATGTCTTGGAATGGCCTAGTCAAAGCCCAGACCTCAATCCAATTGAGAATCTGTGGTATGACTTAAAGATTGCTGTACACCAACGGAACCCATCCAACTTGAAGGAGCTGGAGCAGTTTTACCCTGAAGAATGGGAAAAAATCCCAGTGGCTAGATGTGCCAAGCTTATAGAGACATACCCCAAGAGACTTGCTGCTGTAATTGCTGCAAACGGTGGCTCTACAAAGTATTGACTTTGAGGGGGTGAATAGTTATGCACGCTAAAGTTTTCTGTTTTTTTGTCTTATTTCTTGTTTGATTCACAAGAAAAAATATTGTGCATCTTCAAAGTGGTAGGCATGTTGTGTAAATCAAATGATAGAAACCCCCCCCCCCCCCCCCCCAAAAAAAAAATATAAAAATAATAATCAATTTTAATTCCAGGTTGTAAGGCCACAAAATAGGAAAAATGTGAAGGGGGGTGAATACTTTGCCATACTTTGAATACTTTGTGAATACTTACCACTGTATATAATAAAAAAATGACAACTAGAAAATAATATACCAAAGCCAATCCCCCTTGATAATGACTACATTGACATTTTAGTCATTTAGCAGACGCTCTTATTCAGAGCGACTTACAGTTAGTGCATTCATCTTAAGGTAGCTAGGTGAGACAACCATATATCAGTCATAGTAAGTACTGTGGGATTTGTAGTATTTCCAAGTCCCAGTTGGATGGTAGATACCCTAGTTGAAACCTTTTCCTTTAGGATTCTTATAATAGCCTTAACTATTATTCGGCCTACTTGGTGTGTTATTACTGGGCTACTGGTGTATCTCTGTCTTCCCTCTGGTGGCTGCTAGAGAGTATAACAGCTCTTCACCAATGTGGCCACCATTCAATGTAGGCCATTCTTTGGCAATCCTCAATCTCATTCAAAAACACAACTATGTGAGATGGCTTAGAGCTGTTTCTCTCCACTCTTTTGAAGGGTGTTTGGAACGAGTATGGTGGAGGAGTATGAGGAGATCGCTGACCCCCTCGACAGACCAGACGACCAGGATGACGACCTCGGTGAGAGGAGAGCCTCTTATTCTACAGTAGCTTGAATACTTGTCAATCATAAGCAGCAGGACAGTGAATGTTCAATAAGATATGACACATTTGTCAATGGTCATTTATGTTGTTACATGTACACAACAACATTTTCACTTTGAGGAGACTGGATGTCATATAATGTGAACATCGAAAGTCCTGAAGCGACTATACTGCAGGTTTATATGTACATTTTACCTCAACTTTGAACTGTTTGGATGATTGATGTTGGTAAGTGTAATGTTATCTCTCTGCTTTGTGACCCTCAGATTATCCTCCTGGATATGTTCCTGTAGAGGACGAGGCTTCAAATGACCTCATAGGATCAGCCAAGGGTGAGTTACCCACATGTACAGCCAGCTAAATATCCTGTTACACCAGTCACACAAATATGGTATCAATATTGAAAGAATGTGCTGTGTCATACTTGAGTCGCTATCCCTTTGTGAAGCCAATGTGGAGATGGATTCAGTGACAGGGACAAGTATTCACTCATGGGCTGTCTTGTTGTTCCAGATGTCATTCTGAACATGGTGAACAACATTAAAGTCAACGTGCTGGGAGGAGGACCAGGGGAAGGGAACTTCTCAAGCCAGGCAGTGAACATGACTACCAGTAAATCATCTGACCCTGACACCACCTCCACCGTCAGCCCAGTGTAAGTACCAGCCAACCAATCACTTCTTCACCTAGTCTTTTATTTTATCTAGATTTACAGTCATGTCACACATCTTGTCATTTAAAACATTTTTTTTAAGCAATGACATTTACCAGGGTATATTAGAGGTAACATTGTCATTAGTAAGACTTTTTTATTTTCTCTTGCATTTTTCTGTCTAGCATGTACCGTGCTTGGATGTGCATAATTAGTCTTCTTTTGCAGCTGTGGTAGCTTACATCCCTGTCTCTCTGTTCCAGGCCTGACACTGTAGAGGTGGAACAGTCTGAGGTACCAGAAGACCCTGATGTCACTACCACAGAGGACCCCACACCAGAGCCCCCTACTCCAGACACCCCTGTCACAGAGGAACCCAAACTAGAGAATCTAACTGGGGAGGAGCAGGTCGTGACTCCTATAGAGAAAGAGGAGGTCCAGTCCATAGTTACCATGCTGGAGGAGGTAGAAGAAGAGGAGGAGAAGGAAGAGGAAGGGAGGGATAGAGAGGTGCACCATTGCCCTGGCCTCCGACAGCAAGAAAGCCTTGGCTACTGTGGCCTGTCTTCCTCCTCTTCTTGCTCCTGCTCAGCCTCCTTCCAGGAGTACTACCTCCACCAGTGTTCCGTTCAGAGGAACTGCACCAGCCAGGAGAGGGAGCCAGAGGCACCCCCAGCCCCAGGAACCACCACCACCCCGTCACAGCAGCTCTCCATCTCCCCCACGGCCACCCATACCCCACAGCAGCCCCACACTCAGGGGGAACAGCCTCAGGAGAGAGAGCCCAGCTCTGCCCTGGGGGAGAGGAGAGCAAGTCCCACTGACGCCCCACCACACCTTCCATGGGTTGAGACGGAGGCAGTGGGAGAGAGAGAGCCCAGCACGGAGCTGCCCCACCTGGAGCCCAGCCAGACCTCCACCCTGCCCAGCTCCACCGCCAGCTCTGCCACCAGGCCCACCCCTACCGTGGAGCCTCCACACCAGGCCTCCTCGAAAGACCTGCCCGGGCAGGAGCACCCCGCCACTGGGACAGAGAAGAGCCGGGAGGTGCAGCAGGAGGAGAACAGGCAGCCTTCTCCTACTGTCGCCACCTCCAGCCCCATTGGTCCAGTAGAGCAGAGTTGTGGAGCCCCTGTAGAGGAGAGGCCCTGTCCGGAGGTCCAGCCTGCAAAACAAGACAACATCCCAGTCATCTACACCCAACATGTGGCCGATCCACTCCCCCATTCCCTCGCCACTGTCTCCACCCCCACAGAGCAGCAGCAGCCTCCTGTCCCCACGGCTGAAAAAGAGAGTGCTGCTTGCAGTGGCAACACTACTCCTGAGGAGTCCCGTTCTGTCCCCGTCGTGGTTATGACAGAACCCCCCTCGCATGGCCAGGGCCAGGCTGTCGCCACGGAAACCAAGGGGGAAGCAGAGCTTGTGGAAGACATCCTCTTCACCTCGTCACCCAATGGCAATGTGCAGCAGCTGCCTCGCCCCTCCTCCCCCTCTCCCTCCCCCTCAGACTTCTACGCAGAGCTCCACAAACCCATGGAACAGGGGAACGGGAACCCGATGCACGGCTCCACCAGCCAGAAGGAGTCTGTGTTCATGAGGCTCAACAACCGCATCAAGGCCCTGGAGATGAACATGTCGCTGAGCGGACGCTACTTGGAGCAGCTCAGCCAGAGGTATGGGCCCTCGGGGGTTGATGGATCGTACTAAGCATTGTGCGTCATCCAGTTAGTCTTAGTTAACTGTCCAATGTCAGACAGTGAAATGCTGTTGAAATAACCAGTGCTTTCAATTCCATTTCAACACAGTCAGTCCGTTGAAGGTTTAGATGGTGATGTTTTGTCATTGTATTGAAGGTACCGAAGGCAGATGGAAGAGATGCAGAGGGCTTTCAACAAAACCATCATCAAACTGCAGAACACATCCAGGGTAGCAGAGGAGCAGGTGGGGAGTGGAGGGAGACCTTCAATGTGTTTGTGTAGAATGTTACGTACTACGTAGCCTATCTTAAGATGGAGTCTCACACCGTTTTGGCCTTTTGAATAATGAGAATGTCAAGGCTGTCATGTGAAAGGCTCTGGTTGGATGTTAATCACTCACAATCAAAGGCAAGCTGTGATTGGCAATGTATGGGAAAGTGGCTTGTGAGAGTGTTTGTGATTGGCCAGCTCATTAGTTTCCTGTCTCCCTATAGGACCAAAGACAGACGGAGTCCATCCAGTCGTTGCAGGTCCAGCTGGAGGTTGTCACACAGCTGGTGCTCAACCTGTCTGTCGGAGTCAGCCAGCTGCAGAGCCAGGTAGATACTGCATACTTACCTACCCTATTGAATACAGCAGGGTTGAGGTCAATTACATTTCAATTCAGTCAATGCTGTAAGTGAAACGAGTCCTATTCGTCATTGCTTTTCAACAAGGAAGTTTGGCCTCCTGAATTGACATGGAATTGGTCCCAACCCTAGAATGCAGCAGTATTCAAATGAATTGTATATTTCTTTAAACTCTTTACCAACCCACACCACATGGCTGCACTGTGTTAACGTTGCTCTGCCTATGTTGTAGGTGTCTGAAAGGCAGAGCTACCTCCTGCTGTGCCTGGTGTTGTGTTTGTTCCTGGGCCTGCTGCTGTGTGCCCAGCACTGTCGCATGTCTGCCATGGAGCCTCCCTCCACAGACCCAGAGCCTCCTATACCCAAGAGCTACAGCTACTGCTGCCCAGAGAGGTAACTACACACATCCTCTCCTTCTGCCCCACTAGGGGGAACACCGTTGGTTGTGCTTCTGTACTGCTTATGAATGTGTTATGCATGGGTTAGGAATGTGTTATGAAGTCCTTTACATAGGTACCCTTAAATTTGAGTTACCACATTCCATCCAAGGGACAGACACCACACACTCAACTGTACAAAACAGGATGCTGTTTTTAAGTCTTGTCCTAGTCTAACTAACACATCTCCTCCTCTCAGGCGTTTCTCTGAATATGAAGACATGAGCTTGAAGAGACTAGTGTCATATCCTCTCCTGCACTCAGGCTCCTTCCAGTTACCCACCACTGAAGGCAAGTTTACCTATGACTATGTTGTGTGTGTGTGTGTGTGTGTAGTGTACTCCCTTGTGATTCCTAATTCTAAGGTTTGTTGCTGATGAATATATAAACATAACTTGACTTTGGGTGTTGATATTTTGATATTTATGATCGGTTTTGTTTTGCTGATTTATAATATAGCTTCAACAGTTTTTTTTATGTAATTAATTTGTTTTCCTCCTTGTGCTCGCAGGTCCAGAGTCACCGCATACTGTTGAAACACTGAGTTTTCTACCAGCTAATAAAAAGGTATGGATGGAATAGTGTCCCTATCTCAAGGAAAGTCTCTCTCTCATACTCTTAGAGTATAATTGTTTTATGAACATCATCTCTCATCGCCAACCTCAACAAATAAAATCTCTGTCCCCAACTCTTCTCCCTCAGCAGAAGAAACGCAGTAAGATGAAGGCTGTGGAAACCCTTAAATGCACTACTCTCTGCGCTCCTCTGCCTGCTAACGGAGCACCCGTATGTAATGGCGGTGCTCCTCGTGGCACCACAGACCCTACACCCCGCATGGGGCGTCTCAGCCACCACGCCTTCATGGACCCCCCCTCTGAGTGCAGCTCAGAGAGCTCCTCCCAGTCTGACGAGCCCTCCTTATGCGGCCTTGCCGCCACCACCTGCACGCGCCTCTGTGACGGCCTGCACCCACCCAGGAGCAGGGCAGAGAAGCGAGCGTTCAAGCAGCATCGCTCCAAGCCTGGGTGCGTGGTGGTGGATCTCCTGCAGGCCCCGCGGAGAGATGCTACACCCACCATCCCCACTCTGCAGGACCTCATGGGAGGAGGAAAGGAGCTGTCTGCAGGGATGCTGGGAGTGACGGCGCTCTGAGGTCCTGTCGAACCTAGACTAAACTCTCCTCCTGTCTGCTCCTCCTGAAAACAGACTCTGGAACACTCATCCCCTGAAAGGAGAGATGCTGTTATCCCTGTCTAAACAGGAGGCTTTAAGCTAGGAATCAGACAATCCCATCAGACAATCCCTCTTCTTCCACCTCCCAACCAGTGTGTTATGTTCTGTCCATGTTCTCTGTTGACTATTTGTCAGGCTTTGATGTTTCTTTCTTGCTTTGACCAATGAAAACAATGTATTTTCCATCTGTCCTTAAAAATGTCATTTTTTTTGTCACGAGGTAAATACTGTCAACCCTACAGCTGCACTATATAACAATCAAACCTGCAAATAATAGCCAATGTCAATGATGGGCTAAAGGAATACAATTCCATGATAGAAAAATGCTTTTACTGGTGAGTGGTCGGTCTAGCCACATTGTTCATAGAAACAGTAGTGTCTTCCTGTATCAAGATCGGTTCTCATTCCCTGAAGTTGAAACCTTTTTCAACTCTTATGCTTTTACCAGCTCAGCTGCCGCTTTTACAGTACACAGGGATGCAAGACAGCCTACACTGAACAAAAATATAAACGCAACAATATTAAAGATTTTACAGAGTTACAGTTCATATAAGTAAATCAGTCAATTGAAATAACGTCATTAGGCTCTAATCTATGGATTTCACATTACTGGGAATACAGATATGAATCTGTTGGTCACAGATATGTAAAAAATAAAGTAGGGGTGTGGATCAGAAAACCAGTCAGTATCTGGTGTTACCACCATTTGCCTCATGCAGCGCAACATGTCCTTCGCATAGAGTTAATCAGGCTGTGGATTGTGGCCTGTGGAATGTTGTCCCACTCCTCTTCAATGGCTGTGCGAAGTTGCTGGATATTGGCAGGAACCGGAACACGCTGTGTAGTGGGCAGTAATATTTGTATTCATATATTCAAATATTTGATATGTGAATATACAGTATATATATATATATATATACAGTGCATTTGGAAAGTATTCAGACCCCTTGACTTCTTCCACATTTTTAAGTTACAGCCTTATTCTAAAATGGATAAATATTTTTTTCCCTCATCAATCTACACACAATACCCCATAATGACAAAGCGAAAACAGGTTTTTAGAAATTAGTTCAAATAAAACAATTACAAATTAAAATAGATACCTTATTTACGTAAGTATTCAGACCCTTTGCTATGAGACTCGAAATTGAGCTCAGGTGCATCCTGTTTCCATTGATCATCCTTGAGATGTTTCTACAACTTGATTGTAGAGTCCACCTGTGGTAAATTCAATTGATTGGAACGGCACACATCTGTCTATATAAGGTCCCACAGTTGACAGTGCATGTCAAAAACCAAGCCATGAGGTCGATGGAATTGTCCGGAGAGCTCCGAGACAGGATTGTGTCAAGTCACAGATCTGGGGAAGGGTACCAAAAAATGTCTGCAGCATTGAAGGTCCCCAAGAACACAGTGGCCTCCTTCATTCTTAAATGGAAGAAGTTTGGAACCAGAGCTGTCTGCCCTGCCAAACTGAGCAATCGGGGGAGAAGGACCTTGGTCAGGGAGGTGACCAAGAACCCGATGGTCACTCTGACAGAGCTCCAGAGTTCCTCTGTGGAGATGGAAGAACCTTCCAGAAGGACCACCATCTCTGCAGCACTACACCAATCAGGCTTTTATGGTAGAGTGGCCAGATGGAAACCACACCTCAGTAAAAGGCACATGACAGCCTGCTTGAGTTTGCCAAAAGGCACCTAAAGAACTCTGACCATGAGAAACAAGATTCTCTGGTCTGATGAAACCAAGATTGAACTCTTTGGCCTGAATGCCAAGCGTCACGTCTGGAGGAAACCTTGCACCATCCCTACGGTGAAGCATGGTGTTGGCAGCATCATGCTGTGATGATGTTTTTCAGGGGCAGGGACTGGGAGTCTAGTCAGGATTGAGGGAAAGATGAATGGAGCAAAGTACAGAGAGATCCTTGATGAAAACCTGCTCCAGAGCGCTCGGGACCTCAGACGGGCAAACAGGACGACAACCATAAGCACACAGCCAAGAAAATGTAGGAGTGGCTTCGGGACAAGTCTCTGAATGTCCTTGAGTGGCCCAGCCAGAGCCTGGACCTGAACCCGATTTAACTGCTCTGGAGAGACCTGAAAATAGCTCCCCATCCAACCTGACAGAACTTGAGAGGATCTGCAGAGAAGAATGGGAGAAACTCCCTAAACACAGGTGTGCCAAGCTTGTAGCATCATACCCAAGAAGACTCGGCTGTAATCGCTGCCAAAGGTGCTTCAACAAAGTACTGAGTAAAGGGTCTGAATACTTATGTAAATATGATAATTCAGATTTTTATTTATGATAGATTTGCACACAAAATAAAACCTGTTTTTGTCATTATGGGGTGTTGTGTGTAGATTGATGAGGGATTTTTTTAAAAAATGGATACAGTTAAGGAAAGTGATTACCCAAGATGGTGATTTTGAGTTTCCTATGTATCATTATGATTACACCTTTAGTTCTATATCGTGGAGCTCTGCCCCATAGGGGAGCTCTGCTCCTATTGGGTTTACCCCGCTGCCTAGGCAGCGAACAGCCTGAGACAAAATGATGCCCACACCTGCAGCTAATAGGAGTACAGGTGTCCCTATAAGAGGGGACGCTTCCCCTCAATCAGCCTCCCTTTATCTTCAGCGACTGGACTAGACTGAAGAAGCCAAGAAGAGACGAAGACTCAGGACGAAGATAGTGCCGTCAACTTCCAGTTCTCGACGTCGTCCGAAAATGAGCACACCGGGAAATTTTCCACCCCCAAATGCTCTTTTCAGAGCTCAATGCCGCTGCACCTCCATGGTGGCTGTGGACTCCCACGACTTATGTTTTGTGTGTTTGGGTTCACAGCACGCGAAGGACGGCATCAGCGATCCCCCTATTTGCGCCAGCTGCGCCCTCCTTCCATTGAACCACGGGTAAGACAGCTCGGCAGGGAGGAGGTGGAAGAGGCGTCCAGGATTTCTGGCGCTATTCTTCACCTGACACAGGCATCAGCTGTCTGCGCTGGGGAGGTCCATGGCCACTTCGGTGGTGGCGGAGCGACACCTATGGCTGTCACTGAAAACCATGAAAGAAGCAGACAGAGCGTCGCTTCTGAACGTCGTCAGCCCATTTCGTGGTCCCGCTGGGACTCCTGCGCAGGATGCAGCGATGGTTCACCCAACTAAGACTAGACCCAGTACGTCAACGTCGTCGGTTGGTGGTGGTTCCTCTCTCGCTCAGTGCAGATCTGAACTATTGGAGAGACCCGCGCGTTCTCACGCACGGAGTCCCGATAGGCAAAGTGTCCTCCTACATTCCAGTGTTTACAGATGCCTCTCTGACTGGATGGGGAGGGACATGTCAGACCCAAGCGATAGAAGGTGTGACCTCTTTCGAGTCGCTACATCAACCTCTTGGAGTTGGAAACGGTTCAACTGGTTCTGACCCATTTCGCGTCTACCCTTCGGGGTCGCGTTGTGTTGGTCTGGTCAGACAACCGGATCACAGTAGCCTACATAAATCGCCAGGGAGGAGTCAAGTCTCCTGCACTCCACCAGTCGGCGGAGGAATTGTGGCTGTGGGCTCACAAGCACCTTCGCTCGTTGAGAGCAGCACACATTCCAGGCTACTTGAACGTGGGAGCAGACCTCATGTCACGAGGGGGTCCTCGAGACGACGAGTGGTGTCTGCACCCGGACATCGTTCTCCAAATTTGGGAACAGTTCGGGAGAGCCGAGGTGGATCTATTCGCGTCACGTGTGAATGTGCATTGTCCTCTGGTTTCTTCAAACCCAGCCACGTTTCATCCTCAATGCCCTTGCTGATGGAAGGAGGTTTTCACTCAAAATCTCACGATACATGGCCCCATTCATTCTTTCCTTTACACGGATCAGTCGTCCTGGTCCCTTTGCAGAAAAACAGCCCCAAAGCATGATGTTTCCACCCCCATGCTTCACAGTAGGTATGGTGTTCTTTGGATGCAACTCAGCATTCTTTGTCCTCCAAACACGACGAGTTGAGTTTTTACCAAAAAGTTTCATCTGACCATATGACATTATCCCAATCCTCTTCTGGATCATCCAAATGCACTCTAGCAAACTTCAGACGGGCCTGGACATGTACTGGCTTAAGCAGTGGGACATGTCTGGCACTGCAGGATTTGAGTCCCTGGCGGCGTAGTGTGTTACTGATGGTAGGCTTTGTTACTTTGGTCCCAGCTCTCTGCAGGTCATTCACTAGGTCCCCCCGTGTGGTTCTGGGATTTTTGCTCACCGTTCTTGTGATCATTTTGACCCCATGGGGTGAGATCTTGCGTGGAGCCCCAGATCGAGGGAGATTATCAGTGGTCTTGTATGTCTTCCATTTCCTAATAATTGCTCCCACAGTTGATTTCTTCAAACCAAGCTGCTTACCTATTGCAGATTCAGTCTTCCCAGCCTGGTGCAGGTCTACAATTTTGTTTCTGGTGTCCTTTGACAGCTCTTTGGTCTTGGCCATAGTGGAGTTTGGAGTGTGACTGTTTGAGGTTGTGGACAGGTGTCTTTTATACTGATAACAAGTTCAAACAGGTGCCATTAATACAGGTAGCGAGTGGAGGACAGAGGAGCCTCTTAAAGAAGAAGTTACAGGTCTGTGAGAGCCAGAAATCTTGCTTGTTTGTAGGTGACCAAATACTTATTTTCCACCATAATTTGCAAATAAATTCATTAAAAATCCTCCAATGTGATTTTCTGGACCAGTAGACATCCCGAAAGTCGGTCTTCTCACGAAAACGTCTGTATTATCCAAACGGTTTGGCTTACAAACTAATATGACCACAAGTGTCACGGGACTCGTCTAAAGGTATCCCATACAAATGAATGGAAGTATTGAGGTAGTTTTGTGCCAACTAAAATAAGTTGTAAATTATGTGTAAAAAAAAAAATGCTTCTCTGTCA